AAACCATAGAGTTTTCCCTTGGATGACTGTGGCCCCGCCCCCAGCGTGCCCGGCGTGGTCGCATCACTTCCTGGTGACGTGCACGTCGGGGTGGAGTTCCCCCCGGGGCCCGATCCGGCGGTGGCGGGGCACGGGCCTCTGGGGTGGGGGTTTCCCCGCCCCCCGGGAGACTTGGCAAGCCTACCTATGACAGAGCCATAGAGCTGGAAGGGACCTCCAGGGTCATCTAGTCCAACCCCCTGCACAATGCAGGAAATCCACAAATACCTTCCCCCACGCCCCAAGTGACTGCTGTTCCATGCCCAGAAGATGACAAAAAAACCCTCCAGGATCCCCAGCCAAACTGGCCTGGGGAAAAATGGCTTCCTGACCCCAAAGCGGCGATCAGCATTTCCCTGGGCGTGTAAGAAAGGACCAGGAGAACTAAGCACTGAGGCAACCCCTCCTGCCCTCCCTCTCATGATCTGCCTAAGTCCACAGAATCCGCATTGCTGTCAGATGGCCATCTCGTCTGCCTTGGACTTCCTTGGTGGTCTCAATACGAACTAGGGCTGATCCTGCGTAGCTTCAGAGATCGGGCTAGTCTGGGCTGTCCAGGCCAGGGCAAGAGATGTTCAGTGGCAGTTTGCCAACACCTGCCTCTGCATAGCAACCCTGGACTTCCTTGGTGGTCTCCCATCCAAACATTAACCAGGTCTGACCCTGCTTAGCTTCTGAGATCTGACAAGAACAGGCCAGCCTAGGACGGCTGTGTTAATCTCCCAGGAGGGAAAATAACCAGAACGATCTGTGACACCTCCAAATGTGTTAATTGAACGGAGCCTGAGGTTTTGAGTGCCAGAGCCCTGTTACGTCAGGTGCAAAAGATACCTCCTGCCTTCCTGGCTAGCTTGGGAATTTGCCAGAAGCGTCTGGCTAGCTACAGCTGGGAACAGAATGCTGGACCGTACGGGCCCTTGCTCTGAGCCGGCAGGGCTCTTCCTATGCTCAGCAGCTGCGGCACAAAATAGGCATTTTGTGATTTTTTGGGGGGGTAATGCAGCCTTTCATTTCAGCAATCCTGTGCACCAGGGAACTGTCAAAACGGGGCCGTTCCAGTTTCGTAACCCGCTGAAATAATTAGTTCCAGCGGACGGTGTCTCGGATCTAAATAACAGCCTGTTAAAAACGGCAGCTGGAATTGCGCCGAACCGAATTTAGCTTGAGGTGTAGCTTCATGTCCGTTTTTAAAACAGAGATCTGGATGACCCTCAGTGCTCTTCCCGCTTGGGGAGGGGCTGGGGCTTAGTGGCAGAACCTATGCTTTGGCATGCAGAAGGTCCAAGGTTCAATCCCCGTCATCTCCAGTTTAAAGCAACCAGGCAGGAGGTGATGGGAAAGACCTCCGCCTGAGACTCTGGAGAGTGGCTGCCAGTCTGAGTAGGCAGTGCTGACTTTGATGGGCCAGGGATCAATGTTCCCTCTATGGTGTGAAATCTTGTGAGCAAAAATCCTACTTTTTGAGCTGCCGGCATTAAAGTTGTGAGCGAGCAAGTTGGCTGCTGCGTCAATGAGTCTGCTCTGGAGCCATCCTTCCTGAGCTAAGACAAAAATGTGTGAGCCGGAGGCTAAAAAACTGTGAGCTAGCTCACACTCTCTCATCCCCGGCATCTCCAGTTAAGGATCAAGTAGTGGGTGATGGGAAAGACCTTTCTCTGCCTGAGACCCTGGAGAGCTGTAAAGAGGGGCTGTGGCTCAGTGGCAAAGACTCTGCTTGGCACACAGAGAGTCCCAGGTTCAATCCCCGTCATCTCCAGTTTAAAGCAACCAGGCAGGAGGTGATGGGAAAGACCTCCGCCTGAGACTCTGGAGAGTGGCTGCCAGTCTGAGTAGGCAGTGCTGACTTTGATGGGCCAGGGATCAATGTTCCCTCTAAGGTGTGAAATCTTGTGAGCAAAAATCCTACTTTTTGAGCTGCCGGCATTAAAGTTGTGAGCGAGCAAGTTGGCTGCTGCAGAAATTAGTCGGCTCTGGAGCCATCCTTCCTGAGCTAAGACAAAAATGTGTGAGCCGGAGGCTGTGAGCTAGCTCACACTCACTCAGCTTAGAGGGAACACTGCCAGGGATATGATTCAGCAGAAGGCAGCTTCTCCTGTCCCCTTTGCTAAGATGTCCTGCACAGACATCTGGGGACAATCTTTTGAGCTTGGCTTCTCTGGTGCAACCCCCCCCCCCCGAAGCAGGACTGGCTGAGTTCTGCACTCCAGTTTTTCCGGGTGGGGCATGTCTAGGGGGGGTTTTGGGTAATTGGTTTCACAAGAGATGGAGACTCGATCCGAGGAAGGGCAGCATCCAGCAGGGATCACAGCCGAGGAGCTGGATGCCGGAGAGGCGGCGGCCTCTGGAGGGAAAGCGTTTAGATTCTGAGCCAGGGACGGAGAGGCCTGGAAAGCACTGCGGGGTGAAGGGAGACAGGACTCCACCTCTCTGTCTCAGTGGAAAAACACTTGCTCCTTTGGAAGTAGTAAAGACCAGCCTTGTGACAAAGCGTGGTGTATAGAATCATAGAATAGGATCATAGGATCATAGAGTTGGAAGGGGCCATCCAGGCCATCTAGTCCAACCCCCTGCCCAGTGCAGGACCAGCCTAAAGCATCCCTGACAAATATCCATCCAGCCTCTTCTTGAAAGCTGTCAATGAAGGGGAGCTAATAACCACCTCCAGGCAGCTGATTCCACCCTTGAACCACTCTGACCGTGACAAAGTGTTTCCTAATATCCAGCCGATACCTTTCTGCATGTCATTAAAACCTGTTGCTTTGGGTCCTGTCCTCTGCTGCCAACTGGAACAAGTATCATACCCTGCAGCTGGGGGCCGGCGGTTCCAAGATCCAACTCTGTGCAAAACACCAGATTCCTACTGGGGGCTGCTGTGCTCTGTTATCTCGGTCATCAGGGGGCTGTGGAAACGGCTGGAGTATCCTCAGCTGCCCTGCGTGTGTGTGGGTAGTGGGTAGGCGTAGGAGGTGGCACACCTGTATGCCAAGAGCAAAGAAGAAGCCGGGCGGCTGGGGGGGGGAGAGAGAGCGAGAGAGCTGGTGATCTCATTGTGATTTCGCTGTCAGCCTGTAGCAAAGAGAAAACACCATCTGGGTGTTCAGCTTCAAAAATACTCCGTTTCACGGCAGGCTTGCAAACAGACGTGCCATAGAAGCGCACGCACAAGCTGCGCTTCCTACACAGGAGTGAGGGGAAAAGGGGTGAAGTTTCCAAAAAGCTAAAGGCACCAGACTGTGTTCAGATTGTGCCTGTTGCAAGGACCTCCCCTCCCCTCCCCTCTCTCCTCTCCTCTGGGTTGGAGAAGGCATCAGCGCTTAGGAGGAGTTGCATTTGATTCCCAGAATACTGAGATGCTGCAGCTGAGAATCGGAGCAGAGGGGAAAATACTGTCTGGATCAATCGCTGGCATATTTGCCACCCCCTGCTGGGCATCTTAGGGCCTGAGCCAGCGGAGTACGGCTGCCTGAAGCCTTGTCCTCCGACACAGCCTTGACGCGACGCCCTTTGCCATGTTCCCCAGGATCTTCATCCCCCGGAAGCACCGGCAGCGCTTCGACGAGGTGGTGTCCCAGAGCCTGATCAGCAAGCTGTGCCGTTCCAAGAGTGAGCAGCACGTGAACCGGCTGAGGCGCAGCCGCAGCGAGGACCACCACGAACGCCTGCTGGTCTCCACCAGGGCCAGCTCGGTGCCACGGTGCCAAGAGGAGAACTGCAAGGGCTTGAGGAAGACCACTTCCTTGATCGCCAGCAATGTGGGGACAGGAGCAGCCCGCAGGTAAACTCCCCGTGTCCCACGCCTTCTTGTCCACACCGTGTGTGTTATTCGATCCTGCCTGTACTTTGCCCTTTCTCAGAAACAAAATGCATGCGCTTGGTTTTCCCTTCCTCGTTTTATCATAGAACTAGAAATAGGGCCCGTTGCGGAAATAAATACAACGGGATCTAGAAAGAGGCTCTGGGAGAGTACTCTGGCTTTGGGCAAACAGTGTCAGTTTCCTGTGGCGACCTCAGCAGGGTTTAATGACAGAGTCCACTGTTTTCTCCAGAGGGACTGATCTCTGCTACCTGAAGAGCATTTGTATGTTTGAGTTATCTGTAGCCCTCACCTGGAGAGTGGTAACCATTGTTACCCATTCTCCTCTCCCCTATGAGGTATGTTATGCAACTGAAAATCCCAACTGCCTTGCGGGGGGGGGAGTTTGAGGTGTGGAATGGACTGAAGTCCAATCAGCTTCCATATGCAAAAGACCAGGTTGTCGCAGCAGTTGTGGTGTGGGCGGGACCCGGGCTTTGCCTTCTGATTGGTGGCGATATATGCTGAGGAGCAGTGCCATCAGCCATACACTAAGGGAGTGCATTTTAGAATTAGAACCTTGGCATGCACACAGGACTCAACAACCCTGAGAGGTAGGGGGGAGCTGTGAGAGAGCGGCAAGCCCAAGGTCACCCGATATGGCTGAGGAGGATTTGAACTCGAGTCCCACAATTCGTAATCCAAATGCTCTGATCGCTGTTATGACACACGCTTTTGTGTGATGAGTTTTAAAAAAGAATATTTTAAATGAAGCATGAAATTACCATTGTGGAAGAGTAACGATCGCAAAGCAATGGGAAAAAACCCCTCTAGGGCTCGTATTAGCATATTTGCACTGCAAACAAAAAATGTTAACTACTTAGAAAATAGAAATGTAAAAATGCCTCTGGAATGAACCCTCAGCACTCGGGCCGTTCCTTGATATGGGTGCAATTCAAGGAATTACACCCAGTTTCCATGAATGTTTCAAATCTTTTTTAAATTCTAGGTTTATTCCCCATTTATAGACCTCTTCTATGTATGTATATGTATATATATATAATCGTATATATAGGGTTGCCAAGTCAATTTGTCTTACCGGCGGGGGAGCCTCGCCGGGCTTCGGGAGCCATCTGTTGATGCGCGCGCGTGCGCGCGCCGCCAGCACGTCACCAGAAGTGACGCGTGACGTCGATCACGTTGAAGGCGTGGTCCCGATCGTTGGAGGGAAAACCACAGAGTTTTCCCTCCGACGATTGGGGCCACGCCCCCAACGTGATTGACGTGGTTGCGTCACCTCTGGTGACGCAGCCGCGCTGCGCTTCGGGGGGCCCCACTGATAAACACAGAGAGAGGGTATGACAGCCTCGGGGAGAACAAAGAACCATAGAGTTTGCATGGCCCATATATATATTTGAGCTCCTGGCAGTCGTAAGGACTAATAGAAGGTTCCCCTTGCGCAAAAGCCAGTCGAATCCGACTCTAGAGCGCGGTGCTCATCTTGGAAAGCCAAAGAGCCAGAGCTGTCTGAAGACGTCTCCGCGGTCATGTGGCCGGCATGACTAGACGCCGAGGTGCACGGAACGCTGTTACCTTCCCACTGAAGCGGTGCCCATTTATCTACTTGCAGTTCCTTGCTTTCGAACTGCTAGGTTGGCAGGAGTTGGGACCAGAGACGGGAGCTCACTCCGTCACGCCGCACTCAGGTCTCGAACTGCTGAACTACCGACCTTCTGGTCGGCAGTTCAGCATCTTAAACACTTGAGCCACCACAACCTCTATATCAACATCAACAGCCGATACAACCCAGACCACGATGGGAACTGACTGACTGCTTGCTGGATGCTGTTCATGCCTGCCGCTGTAGATGACCTGTTTTTAGCACTAGCGCTTTGTAATGTTTTATATTGTCATGATTTTACTTCGTTCTGTTTTAGCTGTGTAGTGTTGCATAAGCCGCCCTGAGCCTGCTAATTGAGAGCTACGGCTTAGAAAGATTGTTGACAGATACCAAGAGAATGGAGGCTCCAGTCATATTTGGAGGGGAGCCACTGATAAACAGAGAGGGCATGACAGCCTCGGGGAGGACAAAGAACCATAGAGTTTGCATGGCCCATATATATATTTGAGCTCCTGGCAGTCGTAAGGGCTAATAGCTTTGGGAGAACCGGTGGATCAGTGGCAGAGCCTCTGCTTGGCATGCAGAAGGTCCCAGGTTCAATTCCCAGCAGCATCTCCAGTTAAAAAGGACCAGGCAGGGGGTGATGGGAAAGACGTCAGCCTGAGACCCTGGAGAGCTGTCAAGAGAGGCTGTGGCTCAGTGGCAGAGCCTCTGCTTGGCATGCAGGAGGTCCCAGGTTCAGTCCCTGGCATCTCCAGTTAAAAGCAGCAGGTGGAAGAAGAAGAGATTGGATTTCTACCCCGCCCTTCACTACCCAAAGGAGTCTCAGAGCGGCTTACAAACACCTTTCCCTTCCACTCTCCACAACAGACACCCTGTGAGGTAGGTGGGGCTGAGAGACCTCTTGACAGAAACGGCTCTTTTTCAAGAACAGCTCTTATCAGAACTACGGCTTGCCCAAGGTCATCCAGCCAGGTGCAAGTGGAGGAGTGGGGAATCAAACCCGGTTCTCCCAGATTACAGTCTGCGCACTTAACCACTACACCAAACTGGCTCAGTTTCTAAACCCGATTAATACATTTAGGACAAAAAGCCTCTGTTACAATACTGACTGCGAAGGACCAAGGGTCTGACTCAAGCCTTCCTTTAGGGAGGGCTATGGTTCACTGGAAGAGCCTCTGCTAGGCATGCAGAAGGTCCCAGGTTCAATCCCCAGCAGCATCTCCAGTTGAAAAGGACCAGGCAGGAGGTGATGGGAAAGATCTCTGCCTGAGACCCCGGAGAGCTGTAAAGAGGGGCTGTGGCTCAGTGACAGAGCATCTGCTTGGCAGGCAGAAGGTCCCAGGTTCAATCTCCAGCAGCATCTCCAGTTGAAAAGGACCAGGCAGGAGGTGATGGGAAAGACCTCCGCCTGAGACCCTGGAGAGCTGTCAAGAGGGGCTGTGGCTCAGTGACAGAGCATCTGCTTGGCAGGCAGAAGGTCCCAGGTTCAATCCCCAGCAGCATCTCCAGTTGAAAAGGACCAGGCAGGAGGTG